ATTATTCTTAACTATGAATGTCATAACTTCAGACTGATAAGCACGCTCGATTATATATTTTTTAAAACAAGCTTTTCGAAATTTTAAAATATAAATGAGAAGGCGTTAGCATTTACAATCGAACACAAAAACTAAGTTTGACATTTTACCACTATACATTTTAAGCATTTGCAGACGGTTGTTATTTTCATCCAATTACAGTTGAAAGCATACTTCAAAAATTATTATCATTTATTAAGTTTTGTTTTAGTAGTTGACATCACTTGTAGCCCCAGAAGTAAAACACATCACAGTATTGAACCTCAGGATATATATATATTTTAAAAATACTTCAATCTTCCTATTTTGTCAGCCTATAACATATCGAAGCGAATAAATAGAATAACTAATGTGAATTAATTGAAGTTAGAATTACAGACCATGGAATTCTGATTAGTTAACCTTATGATGAATGCTAACACTTCGAACATTTGGACTTTGTGGAATTGTGAGTGTACACTGCTGATAAATTTCAACACATCACATGACATATTCAGATAAGAAATTAATAATTTACTCTTTGACTAGTGCAAAAACAGCATAGAACAACATTAGATCTAGTAAACAAAAAGACTCGTTGATAACAATTGCATTCATGAATAGGATCTAAGCTGAAATACAATATCTACTGATGGCTAAGAAAAAAATAACATATTTTCTTTCAGCTAAATATTATGAATTATGAAGATTCATAAATATATATATATATGAAGTAAATATACAACAGTTTCAGCACTATTAGTACTTGATCACAACAGAACAGTCGAAAACATGAATCGTTATAGTAATTTTGTATTTTTTGTTTCTTACACTAGACAACAGTTGTTCGTAAATGTTCGCTTTCATAATAGAGATAAGATATAGGAAGAATGTAAAAAAAAAAATAATGCCACCGAAATACCGAAATAAATAAACAATACAATATGTAATAATATTTCTTTCTGCCGTTAGTGAAAAAGTTCAAATATTGAAAACAGTTTAATATTATTGTTGTTGATGTTGATAGTAATTAAAATCTAATCAACTATTGCTCCAAGTTTTGCATACAATTACTTCATAACAAATTTGAAATGAAAATGTAGTCATTGAGACTGATAGTCAATAGAATTTACTTATCAAGAAGGAATAGGTAAGCACAATACTGATTAGTGTACCATCAGGGTGAATTCTATGAGTTAATTAAATAATTCTAACATTTACGGAAATAAATCTTACTGAAACACAAGTAAATTCATTGTAAGTGAATAAAATATCTCAATACTCAGTGTCCAGCTTTATAAAATAAGCTTATCTGGATGAAACTGACTTAATGAATGGATAAATGTTTATTAAAAAGCAACTAGCATAATTGAAGTCAAGTTTTTATCCGAATACTTTAGTATTAGACTGGAATGTAAATTATTCTTATCACACAACTGTGATGTCTGCTACTAGCAGGACCAATACACGATTCAACCTTTGGAAGTAGGACAACTAGAGCCATACCTAGATCGCAGAACAAATACAGCAACAGAATGAAGAGACCCTTCTTCTAGAAAGTGTCAAAAACTTACAGGGAAACTGTGTATTCGTAGTTCCTTTGTATGAAGTGAAATAGCATAATAAATCATCTTATTCTCAATGAGTAATGTCACCTAATCGTCCGATCACCTTACGCCACATCGCTATTCTGGAAATTCTGTCGATCCATGGGAGCACTTTGGCTCTTCGGTATTCTCGGTCAGCCATTCTTATCATGACAATACATTATAAATGCAAGTATAAATACCAGCAGTTGAAGGAAGCCCAGAAAATAATCCTTTTTCAAGCTATGCATCTATTTCCTGCAACAAAAGTTCCCTTAAGCAAATCATAAAATTGTGCTTAAATATTTAGCAATATTCATTCAATATTCATACGACTTTTCTAAAATTATCTTAAACGACAGATGTTTATATTTTATGAATTACTATAACAAAAATATCTGGTTACAGATCTCATTTATTTTTCGACATTTATTTGTTTGTATTAGGCCCAGACTATGCCTACATATATAATTAATATTAAGGCATTTAACACTATAATATATATTATATTATAATGATAAACATTTCATTATTCAATTAGCAAATAACCCTATAGAATTGCTGTCTTTTGGGAAGAAACGCAAACGAAATTTGACCAGATGTTTAATTATCACAAAAATTACTCATTATCCCCTATCCTCAGTGTAGGATACAAATCTAGTATCAGGATTTTTTTAAACTAGATAAATTTTTCATTAGAAACTCGATAATTTACAAGATTTATTTACTTGTTCGCAAGCGTTTTATTGAAAAAAGTATATATCATTACGTGAGACTAATCATTTAGGTGCTTTCTCTAATCTAATTTTGATGTTGACAATTAGACTTAAAACCAGTACCTGTTGTTTTATGCGTCAACGCTGTACTCACTGAGTTGTTGAATCACTGTAAGCATCGATATATCAGATGGATAAGATAGTTATTAATGCTTTTATGAATCGATACCCTCTAATCATTCATATGACATAGATCATTCAAGTGTACTCAAAATGGAAAAATAATAAAGGTAAATGAAATGAGATAACGGACTGAATCACAGTTACTCAAGGGAAAGCAAATAACAGATCATACTTTTCCATGCAAGAAATCTATGCATCTTTTACATCCATTTACGCAAAACAATATGTTGCAATACCTAGTTACAGCATTTGTCAATCTTCTCTTTATATAAACTACTTGGAGAGAAAATTTTCGGAACTGCAACCATCTACCTTTATCTGTCTGTGAAATAACATCGCTCCCATCTTTTATTGATTGCATGGACGTTTACTTCGTCTACCCTTCTGAAAATGTCTTAAATGTGCTTATACTTTGAAGCATATCTCATTTTGCTAGTGAAATTATTGGAACAGTAACTGTTTGTTCATCATTAATGTTACTGAGCCTATTCATTAAACTTCCCTACCTGTAGATATTTTATACTTACAAAATCCCTGTTAAACCTGGCTAATTTAAATAAAATTCAACCTGAATGGTAGATCATTAAAACGATAAGGCACATACATAACAATAGATTCATAATAATATTTATTATTGCTATTTTTTTGTGCACTCTGTTTCCGTTTTATTTTCTGAGGTTTTAGATGATTATTATTACTCCGCAATGGCACTGGAAATGACCTTTGATAAACTGATTATACGTCAATAGAGAATTAAAAACAACTCCCAAATAATGACTCACATCGCTGTAATCTATGTGAAAAATGTACTCACTAAATATTTTTTGAACTAGAAACACGTAAAATAATTTCAAATCATACCTAACATTACTATCCGTGTCATACTGATCATGTCTGTAGGTAGACATGTTTCTTGTAGTCACTTTCGGAAATACATATTTATATCCTAATCTTAATAAATATCGTGGTAAAGATAATGCCAAGATAAATTAGGGAGTTTGTCATTTGTCCTAATTATTAATATGTCGATTATCAAAATGATCAAAAACAATAAACCTAATCGGGCGATTTCTTAAAATAATTTTGGTGCACATTCTTACAAACGAAATGTAGCGCTATCCTCATAACTTGGCTACATATATATATATACCTGGACTTGTAATTCAATACGTTTGACCTTGTTACCGTTGTGAAATCACTTATTTACCATAAAATAACTGGAAAACGTAAATAGGCACAACCTAAGTATATAAGAATAATATAGAGTGAAACGCTTCCCAGTTCATTTAGTCACTTGGAGAAAAGATAGTAGCTAATTTAAAGGCATGTCAATTGAAGATGTCTTATGGGGAAATAGAATTAACAGAAGTAAAGATGAGTTAATAATAATGATAATAATAATAATAATAATAATAATATACGTTCCACTGAAAAGTACCCGCAAGAAATATCGCTATGGAGTAAAATGTATAATACGATACTAAAATCAAGATTGGGAGAAAGGTAACCAGTGCACGAAAGTGCATCAGTAAGACTAATTTATGGACATATCACACCGTGTTCCCGAGAGTAAATACGTGTCTTTTGTGTCCTCCAAGCTAATAACTCGCATATCATGAACACGGTTCTGATTGACATTCAGTGGTTTCATTAAAATATGCTATTTTCAGTTGGTAGAAACGTACTTCTATACTATCTAATACGCTGTATTAGAGTAAGAACTTTCTGGATCATTTAATCATGGGGTCTCGTCTCTGAAATTAGTTTACTTTCACTGCTTCATCAAGCAGTTCACTTATCTTTTCAATTACGAACGATGACACAACAATACTACCTATTCATTAGTTGCAAAAAACAACTTTATACTCTTTAATTATGCTTATTTTGTTCCATAGGCTATCATTCTCAGTTGTAAAATAAAAAATAGAGGACTGCTATGTAGTACAGCAACCATTCTGAGTGGTGGAAGGATATCTTGACTGACCTTTGGTAGTGATTGAATAATTCAAGCTGTTCGTTACTAATGAATACAGCGTGGCTAAATTAGTGTGGAAATGATAAAATATATATTACACAGACTCAAATATCTCACCTAACGTGTAATAACAACGTAAAATCAAAAATAATTGTCAACAAACCACTGAAATAACTCTAGACAGATAGGATCAGCCATAGTTTCCTAAAACAAGACCATTAGTTTGGTTAGTTTTAAAATATTTAGAGTAGTACCATTGTAACATCAGTAATACATATTTTAACAAAAGTTGGGTTAACAACAAGATTATCGTTCAGGAAACCTGATTGAATTGTGTAATGCTAAAGTAATCATGAAGAACGAATTCTAAAACAATAAGTTATTTGCAGTTACATATAAGTAATTTTTATGTGTATCGCATAGTCATAGTTTAGTAAAAATCAGTATAAACACCCCGAAAATTGACATAACGATATAGGCTTAACATTATTGATTCAATCAATATACAATATAGATACTCACTTATTCCATCCGACAAAACTGATGTGTAGGCTGTTTGTGTAACATTCCTTACAATCGGTTTTGATGGAGGTCGTGAACTTGAATCTGTGTCCACTCTGTTCAATGTAGAATATAATATGTCAATTGGACCAATCAGACTATGTGACACTTGATAACCTCGTATATCACCATGTGTTCTTTCAGGTGGATCCCATGCCAGTTCCAATATTGCATAATCTGCTTTAGGATCACTTGCACCAGGTGGAGTAGCTCGTCGTAATTGATTCAAACGTAAATTGCGTGGAGCAGAAGGAACTTGAAAACAAATTGAAGGATCCAAAAAACAAGGATTAGAATTAAGAATAAATGGTATGCCTGAATTTTCATGGCTTTGTTGAAATGCATGTATTGCTTGTAATAAATAATTAAAAATAACATAAATTTTTGCAAACATGACTGCAATGAGATTGTACAAATATGTTTACTGATTCATTTCCATATGATTTTTGTTGTTCTATTGTTCTAAGACAAATTGATATGAATTAAATCCAACTATTGTCAGTCAGTGATAATCATTAATTTTAAAAAACCACCATGTACAATGATAGCTATTGATGACCTTCATCTGGCCTTGTTTTTATCCAATCAACACTTCAAATTCTACACCAATCGAATTACGATAATTTATTTGACCAATGTTTATCGTTAAAATGTCAATTGAATTTGTAACTAGTCGATCATAAATGTTTATAAAATATAAGCTCAATTCCATAAAATTCTACTGTAATGTTTTATTAACTTTCAGTACTAGTAAATGCAAATATTTTCTCTTCGGTTAATTAATTCAGTTAAATCAGTGATTAACATTGTGTTTGTTTGTCAAGTTTCATGGTTTAGATGGATTTTTCGCAGTACAGCAACGATAACAATTAAGTCGGAGTATGTGTATGGAGCTTTAAGTTTGACAATACTATTATCTTTAAAAGTAGGTACAAGATTACGAATAGTAAAATGGTCATACAGATGCCTCTATGAAAACAAATTTGCACATTTATATGGAAATTGTTTAAGTAGATATGACCTAACTATTAATGTAGACCGAATTCGTGATTGTACAGTAATTATTCACTGATTAATAATTATTCAATATGACGCTCTCTAGTTTGTAATTCGGAAAAATTCAATGAACGGAACATACGACACAAACGGTATTGTTTGTGTACTCAACCTTAAAGTGTCTAAGCAACTGAAATTCAATTCATCATGAAATTAGGAAATACGATCATGTTGTCTTATATCTACTGTATTTCCTATTTGTATAAAAATCAAGTGAAAGATAAATAGAACATAATTATTTTCCATGGAATCATATTCCTGATTTTTAAAAAAATGATGATTGGAATGATGACAAAAATAAATGTTTTTATTTTCTGTTATATGGTTCAGGTTTATTGTGATCGGTTTATAAGATTAGAGTGATAATTTTCATTGGATTACTCTTCAAGATGATTTGTATAGCATAGATATGAAATTCTTAGTATTAAACAAATCATTTGTATGAAGTAGGGTATATATTGAGAATAATGAAGACTTACAAATCTATTGCAAGTTTATCTGCCCTAACTTTTATTCATATATGTTTTATTTATGAGGCTAGATTTTATTTGGGTGGTTAATTTAAAATAAGTAGAACAAAGTGGAAACCGTACACCTACAGTTTAAATATTGTTAGTGAGGAAACACCTATCTAGAATGCCTAAAATCTACATCGATGGAAAAAATGGGATGTATTACTGAGAAAGATGAAAAGCTTTATTTTCACTTACACATGAAGATGACTAACAGGTTTTTATATTATTGAAGTTAATTTTCAAAATCTTACATACTGAGATATAACTGTTTACATGTAAAAACCGGGCTATAAGTTTGTGTCATGATTATATTTTCCCTGAATAGATTAGTGTCTAAATAGACTGATATATCCATGGTAAGTATTTTTAACTCCAAAGTAGTTATAATGGCTGATGACTATGCATTTAATAAAAGTGACCGGATTAAAAGTCAAATAGATTTTCTTTATGAAAATGTAGCTTTTAATTCAGGAGGAAATTAGTTTTCTTCCCATCTTTGAGAAACATTTAGTTTTCTATTTATTTACTCCTCATTTTAAAACTAATAATAATTACTCTTTATTTTTATCCTAACTTCACTTTCTAACTTGGTTGATGAAATAAAACAGCAGAGAGTTGGGTTAGTAGAATTCAAAAGAAAGAATTGATCATTATTTTAGTTGCTCAATTAGTCTAATTAGATACAAAGCAAATAAACATTTTTATGAAGAATGAAAAGTAGTTTAAAAAAAAGTGTTTGGAACCATTAAATCGTTTTATTTTTTTCAAAGTTTACTCTACCGTGATTAGTTAGCATTTTTCCTAAATTTATTCGAATGGATTATTTATAAATCATGGTATAAAACTAATTAACACAGTGATCATTTGATTTCTGTTCAATAATTTAGAATTTTAGTAGTCACGACAAGTTCCAATGGTTGTGAGTACAGTCATTTGTGGAATCGATGTTTTGGAAACTATTGGAAACCTACAAACAAAATTCAGTTCGATATTAGAACACGCTACTTTCCAGTTGTCGTCAAGTTTGGTGTCACACAACAGTAGTTCTGTAAAAATTTCCAGGCTTAAAAAAAATTATGTCAGATAACACTGAGGTTTTCCAGTTTACCACTTAAGGAATTCAAAGTAAAATTATTCCACGTTTCTGTTACTGATCATAAAAATTTGTTAATCATCAATCATTTTTTAACTTTAATCTCTTAAGCATTTATTTTACACCAATGAGATAAGTCCTGTTTTTCTTCTACTTGACGTTTTAAACAATCACTCCAATGTTGATAAATGAATTGGCTGAAGCTAGACGCTGATACCATTGGATGGCGCTCAGTGTTCTAGAGATTTGGCGTTTTCGGTAAGACTATAAATCCTGAGTTCGATTCCCATACACGCATTAATGAATGCACACAGATGAGGAATCCCATACTGAGAAGAAAAAATCCACTGAGTGCTTCCAGTCTAGATAAGCTCGTGATTTCAGCTATGAATGTTAAATTTTTTTCTTGATTTCTATTTCTACAAAACAATTTGATTTTACTCACGCAAATATATTTAGTGGTTTAGACCGCTTTACAGTTGATTAACAAATAATATTAACAATCTTGAAGTGGAATTGTTTGTTTGTTAGTAGAAATCACGTCATGAGTATCAACAGATATTTTTTCAATATTCGAGATAAAAAGTAATGAACACTTATTTTTATGTAATGGATATTACCTAGAGTTGGAAACGGGTTGTACAGTAATTTTCTTATTACTTAACACAATCCACTTGAAACAAAAGTACCTTATTTCGATAGATGATGTATGTTAAACAAAAAAGTTTCAGTATAAACTTGACTCTAAAAAATGAAGTTTATTATGTATCAGTAACAACACGTCTTTCTTTAATTATCATTCGATGATTTTGACACACCATGTACTTTATATTTTTAACTATTGATTAGGGGCAGTAATGTTACGCTCGTCACTGAGTATGCTTGAGGCTATCACGAGTTTACTTTAGTCGATAAACGCGAACGAGACTTTTACCAGCGTCCAGGTAGGCTAACTTGAATCCCCAAATGGAGTAAAAAGAGCTTTGTAAGCGTAGAAAGTATATTCTACAAACACCCAGCAATCACAGTACAATCAAGCATACAACTCTCGTTTATTTGTACTACATAGAAACGTCCTTGAGACAGTTAAGAAAATAGCACACTAAAATACACAGCAGCCAATCACAGCCATGGATTTTCCTGGTGGGAATTGAAATCTCAAGGTCAACTGATCAGCCGTTGCTCGCAAACGTGAGAACCAAAATAAAGCATTTATCAAGGGCATTTTGAGGATCTATCATCCCCAACAAGTAATAAAATCTACTCTATAACCAACAAAATCTCTTTGAAAGAAATCACTCGAAAAATTTGATATTTATCTTTGTAAGTGGACTTGGAAGAATATCACGAAGATGTGACACAGCGTTCTCAATATAGTTATCATACCGATAGAACTAAATTTGAGAAATCGCTGAGATGTGTTCGTGTTCTTATAAGGTTTCGAATCTTTACTAAGAGTATTTGCATGGCGATTACCCATTGTCAGTGTATTATCCTACTATTAGTCTTATTCAGTGGTGGCACTACTCTTTTAGGAAAACAATAATTTAAAACTTACTAAAAACAAACATGAAGAAGATCATTTATTACAGAGTATTTAAGTTTTTATGATCTAGCGGTATTTCTACACTCAAACAAAACAATATTCTGTTCAAGTTTAACAAAGTTATAAGGGCAGAAAAGGTTGAATCATTTTAAATCAAACATTATTGCATAAAAACATACACAATATTGAACAGATATGTGATAAATTAACACTCAACTACTGAATATTGTAATGAAAATGACTAACTATATATATATATATATATATATATATATATATATATATAACAGTCAGCTATGACAATAAATTTGGTTCTTTGAATCAAATTGAATAATTCGTAGAGGGGTATTTTTTGTGGTAAATGTTCAAAATAGTCTCCACTCAACTGATGGATAATTAGCCTAAACTTCGTTTCAATAAATTTTGTGCACTAACATCAAATGATAAATTGTACAAATATATAATGTAACATAATCTACCACATAAACAAACTTATCAATTGTATCATGTCAACTTAAAATTGTTAGCCAACTTGATCACTCATTTCTGTACATCAGTGTATGAAACTAATCAAAATGTATACACAATTTACAATTGGATTGTAAAATATGATTGTTTTCAAATTTGATAGATTTCATTTTTTCTATTTTTAGATTAAAAGAGTATTCATTTGAAACTTTTAAAACGCCTAAATCATTTTAAATTAATCCACATTGGAGGGTAAAAAAAATAAATATAAGAAGAAAGGCAAAATAAGAAAGAGTAGGCAGTTAGTTACAATTTGAATAGTCCCTACAAATACGGCATATCGATAAAAAGTAGACGTGTAATAAATATCTTTCTATAAAACACACCAATCATTATTAAGAAGTTAGTTCATTTGAAGTATGTGCATTTATCAACGTAGAAAATTTTAACAGTTCTTTTTTGTAAGTAGTTAAAACATTAGTGTCAAGTATGACAAGCTAAAATTCTTATTCAATATTCTTGTGCATAGAACAAGTGTTTGACGTTCTGTGTACAGTTGAATAATCATATACCTACT